TTTTTTTTTGCGTCCTGGATTACTTATTAGGCTCAATAATCTTTTTGAAGATCTTCTGGAAAAGTCCAGAGTAATCAAACAGGCGCCTGGGGAGCGATGCTATCACATTTTCTACCAACTCTATTCCGGGGCTGTGAAAGGATTAAAAGGTAGGGCACATTATTCCCAGTTGTTCCCATATTTAGATCAACATCTGGTCAAAGTACACAACTCAGTTGGAGCAACTTCTCGAGCCAGTTAACACGTACGTTTGCAGAGAAGTTGATGCTAACTCGTCCTATCAAGGATTATCACTTCGTGGCGCAAGCAGAAACCACAATCGATGGAGTGGATGACAAGGAAGAGATGTTAATAACTGATGTATGTGATCACAGTTTCTAAGTTACAGTACTGGTACGATAACTGGTTGTTATAATAGCTGTTACGACAACTAATAGCACCTTTTTTCGAATACTCGAAGACTAGCGTGAACTAATTTTCAAATGTTTAAAGATTTGAACTTAGAAGCCCTTCGGAGTTGGCAATGAACGAGGTTCGATTTCGGTGTTATGAAGTCCCAGAACTAAAATCTCTGAACAATGGAAATTGGCTTAATCTTTCCAACTTGATTTTAAACAATCCTGACAGCCATCTGAAAGTGACCATCGCCGATGAACTCGTTAAGTGGCAGTACAAATTTATTTGATTCAACAGCAGAGGATGAAAATGACTCCGAAGGCTAACGTTTTGGCTATATCGCCTTTCACAGAGCCTCACAGATCAGCCGAATCAGCTCACGGGGATATCAAGCTGACCGAAATTTTGCCAAACCTAGTGTCGTTTTTTGAAACATTGTAGATACGCTATGCAGCCGAAATCCTTCGAAAACATTCTTTTTTGGTCTATAAACAAGAACTTTCTGAAGGATCAGTAAAGCTGAGCTGGCAGACAAATAGTCTGCAATCAAATAAACGAGTGGTGAAATGGTTTGTTAACTGGGATATGTACCTTTTTGGAATGCATTCATAACTAAGAACGTAGAGTCTAATCTGTAAAGGGAACCGAGGCGAACGACTGCTATCACCGAAATCAGTGAATCAGAACCATTCCTTTTTTTTGTAAACCAACGTACTGGAATTTTTTTCTCCTAATGATTGTGATTACAGGAAGCATTTGATATAATGAAGTTCTCACAGAAGGAGAAGGACGAACTGTTTGCAATTACAGCAGGTGAGTTTTACAAAATATAGTTCAGAAAAGGTTTAAACTGTAAGTTCAGCCCTGAAAACCAGTTCATCTACTTAATAGGAATAGGGTGATGACATGGATGGGATTGGAATATACCTTTACAACTTCTTTTTCTCATTTTGTTTCATAAAATCTGAGAACATATACAGTTCTTTACGCGGGACTAATGAAGGAGGCACTCAGAACATCGGAGAACACTTCCCTTTGAAATCGTCTAACAAGCTCTCGGAAAGAGTCTTGTGTCATTTTCAGGAATAATGCATATGGGTGAACTGACATTCAAGCAAAGGCCGCGGGAAGAACAAGCCGAACTGGACAATGGAACAGGTCAGTATGTAAACCAGCAGATTAATATGATGATGTGCATCATTACAGTGAGCGTTGTCCACCGGGACTAAATGAGGCTCAACAAAAAAATTTGCACGATATTCTCAAGGAAAACGGGTGACTTCAAACGGCTTCAGATCATATTCGGTTAAAGGCACAGGTCACGATAATTTTGGGTAACCCAGATTATGACGAAAAGTGAAAGATAAGATGGAAAAGAGTGCGATGGAGGCGAAGGAATTGCGTGGATCGGTGCTCTCAAAGTGAAAAAAGCTTCGAAAAATCGTTAAAAAGAGGGCCGGACGAGAATGAAACCAGAAGAATGGAGAAGAGTGGGGCGTTTGGACGAGCTAAGCACAGTGCGTTATTGCGTACGTGTGGGCCCTGGTGCAAATAATTGACTATGGCAAGCAAAAATGCATTCACTTATAAGCATAAGTAAACAAAAACCGTAGATACAGCGAAAATAGCTCACCTTTTTCAGCCTCTTGGTTTAGGAAATTAATAAGGGATCGAGGCAGCAAAAAGAATAACAGAGGAAAAAAGAAACGGAGGAAAACATCGCCTCATCGCTCAGCGATCACCTGATTGTGTGTGGGTCCTAGAACGAATAATTGCAATCTGTGTTGCCTCGACACTCGCCTGACGTGACATCGATCGAGAGGAGGGAAAGCCACTCAAGCCAGCAACAGGGCTTCCACTATACCCTATGCGCCGAGATTGTGGGGCAAGAGGGTCCCGTCTACCACCCATGGGAGCCTCTGAGTATTCCTAAGGGAAGAACTCGGTAACCATTCTTATCGTGAACCGTGCCTTTAAGTGGAATATCCACCAAAACATTCGTCAGTTCAGGTTTCTCGCAGGGATTTTCCGTAGAATTCCCTGCGGTAGATACGCACGCCTATACACATAACATAACCGACTGCCTCTTCCTTGCTTACTTAACCGTATAGTGGCAGAACTGTCCATATTTATCACGTGCAATTCGAAAGATGCCAGAAATATATTGTAACACCTTCGGCAATGGAGTACGGATTTTTAGTTGCACTGAAACAAATTGGATTATCACTAAGTCACCGAAGTTGTTAAAGATGGGAAAAACAGGGTCTTCAGATGAATTGAGAGAAGCTCCAACTAGGACGGTGCAGGCTGCTCCTGAACAGAAGTTGTTTTCTCGACATTTTTCAAAAAGTTCAAAAATTCAAAAAAGGTTCGCATACATGAAGTCAAGAAATCAAATTGAATTCCTCCTGTAGATAATAGGTTGTTTGCCATGATGCCATGGTGTTACTAATCTAAAAAGTGAGCAACACTGTATTTTTAAGCTATAGGGCGAAATTTCAACTTTGGTATTCAGCGCCTTGACACGTAGAAAGGGTGAATAGAAGTTGACAAAGGAGAAAAGGTCGTATTTTCATCAAGGGAGGAACGTGTAGTCAAGTGGATAGAATAATAGAGAGGGGTATGGGTACATTCGCCCAGAACTGGATGGGCGCGCCAAACCGCGCGGCGAAATTCGTGTTGATTAAAACGGCTCTGGCCCCTATCATTGGGGCTCAAATTTGAGTGGGGTAGAGAAGTAGCATCAGATGGCCCTACTTAACCAATCTGCTTGAAACCCGTGTCCCAATGATAGGGGCCAATGCCGCTTTAATCACCACGAATTTCGCCGCGCGGTTTGCCGCGTCCATCCAGAATTCGATAAATGTTCCGTCCCCCATAGAGAGTAGTAGATAGCGCAAGGGCGACAGAAAGCGGTAGACTCGAACAGATGAACGCTCATCCAAAGAAGGAATATTATCGAGTTATGCCTTTGCAGGGGTAAATGGAATATCTAAGGAGAAAGTGAACCAATTTAGGTTCACCTGAAGATTGGGAGAAGCGATGTGAGCGGGCCTGCCCATCACTTCGCAATTTCGGTTTATGCTTGTTGAAATCATCAAGTTAAACTCAATGGGTGATCGTTTTTTCGATATAAAGGGTCAGAGTTTATTAGTCTACTGATCAAAATCGCCGATCTGTTTTGTCAAGAGTGGATTGTCGTTAGTTTGATTAGTGCGTAATGAGATCATGGTGTAGAAGGTGTGAAAACAAGGAAGGTGAGTGGAACGAGTTCCGGCTAGGAAAACAGGGAAGCAGCTAAAGTTCTAGATTTCAGCTAATCCATTCCAAGCTGTGATTGTGAGGTCTTATTTCAGAGGGCGAATTAGCATGTAAACTCTTCCAAGTCGACTATGAAAAATTCGTCAATTCGATATTGAAGCCACGAGTCAAAGTCGGGACCGAATGGGTGAATAAAGGACAGAATCTAGAACAAGTCAGTGTTCGCACCTTTTTTCCGAAACTTTTGCTTGTTAAGCATGAAAGATAGGGTGAGGAAAGAATAAAACAGCATTTCTGAGAACTTCACATCTCATGCTCATTTTAGGTGAATTGGGCACTAGGTGCGCTTGCAAAAGCGCTATTCGCGCGAATGTTCGCTTGGCTTATTAGAAGGTAATTTTTCACTTTTTTTTTGTTATGGTACATTAAAAGAAATCGGTCGACTACACGGCTCAACTTCCATCACTCCAGATGTAACAAGACCCTTGATGCCCAGGACCTGTCACGAGACTACTTCATTGGAGTTCTTGACATCGCTGGTTTCGAAATCTTCGACGTAAGCCTTTCTACTCTCGAATTTTTCCTATCATTATTCCAGTTTAGTGACTTCAGAATAAAAAATAGTGGCCGTCACAAGAAGGTTCAAATGGTATCGCCACATATTCCTCACCTATCGTCCCGTTATCATCGATTCCTTGAGCGGGCGCTGGGTACATTTACACTCGCCCTACCGCGAGACAGAGTAGTCCGTTGGATCGTCCTCGCTAAAAGGACGCGATCCATGGAATCTCTTCCGTTCAGAGCTTTCGTGGAGGAGTCTGACTACAGCGCTGGCGGCCGACGTGGTGTTCGTTGCACCTCCCGATAGATACAGTCAGTAAGCGCCCTTGTCCAACAGTCATCACAACATTGCATAACCGGTATCCAGCCCCACATGATTCGTTGGCTTCCGCATCTTCCTTCGTTGACGGAGAACGGAACTTCGGATTCCCTTCCGCATTTGCGTACACAGGGAAATTCCAAGCTTTTTCGTAGCATGCTGATTGACGCTGACTGCATGCCCATCTTACTTTTGTAGAGTCCGAGTTTCGGAGAATACTGCAAACCAGGGAAGATCGCAGTGTCAAAAAGAAGAAGGAACAGAATCCAAGCACTGCTGCTACTCCTTCGATGTTACTGAATGCTCTGCACTGTTCCCTCTAGACAGCTCAAAACCGAAGTCATTCATCAACTTGGCTCCTCGACTAAATACACGTAGCGAGAGGTTTCAGAGATAATCTTCCTTCAGCCTAAAAGAAGAATTGGGTACCAATACATTCACACTAAACTTCATCTTCGTTCAAATGGTCTGAAGCCGACCTTTCCTCAAGCGCTGTCAAATCCATCCAGCTAATCTTTCTTCCTCCTGCTCTATGTTCGGTGTTATAAGCACGATGTTGTCTTCAAAACGAAGATGTTGTAAGAAGCGACCGTCGACCTTCACTACCACGTCTTCCCATTCCAAATGACTGGCGAATTTCTCGAAAGCGGCACTGGAAAGTTCGTGCGAGATTACATCGTACGCCTGAGCCCCTCTCTTCACTGTCACAATGACTTGTTTGTGAAATGACGAGATCATGGTCGTGAAGCTGCTGTAGAGCTCACGAAGCATCTTTTCCATTAGGAAACAACACCCATTTACGCAAGACTTTATTTACCGATTGTGTCCGACGGTATCAAAGACCCTCTTCAAATCGATGAAAGCCAAATATGACGGCATCCTGCACTCTCGCGATCCTCCAGTGAGTTTTGTAATTGTAAGGATGTGATCGAATGTTCTTGACGCTTTCCGAAACCTTGCTTGCTCGCATGGCTGTCCTTCATCTGGTATTTTGCCAATCCTGTTAAGGGTGACTCGTGTGAAAAGCTTGTGGATTACAGACAGCAGGCAGATTGGGCGATAATCACCATCGACAATTAGGTATGGATCCCCTTTTTATGTAGCAACACAGTCTCATAGAATACAGTCAGCAACTTACTACACACAAAAGCGCACTGCGGCGAAATACAGCAATCAACAAGAGCATCAAGTCGAAACAAATTGTAACAGCCGTGAAGAAGGTGAGGGAAAGTAGGGTAGTTTAAGGTATGAAGAGCACGGGGTCAAGAAAGCACAAGTGCGGGTTGGAGTCCTATGCGGGACCGAGTTTTCCCCTCAACTCGAAACGTTGTGAGAATACGGTTCGCGGCGGTGGCGAAATTACAGTAGTAGACAAGAACATTAGGTTAGGTCTGTTAGGTATTAGGTCAAAACAAGTCCTGCTATGTTTCCACGAGGTGGGCACGTTGCATCCTGGAAGAAACCGCGTAATGAGCCTAGCAGGGGTTGATGCAGCTACTGATGAACATCTTTTTAATGTTGCGGGAGACACACACGGCCGACACACGTGGCTCTAGAAAACTTCTAAGTAGATTTTCTTCTTGGACCTTGAGCTTTTATCGACTGAGCTGCCTGAACTGAAAATGCTGAAAATTCAAGACAGGTAATCGAAAAACTTTAGGAAAAAGTGGCAAGGCTTCATTATCAGGGAATTGTCTGAAATCAATCCAAAAATAAAATTAGACGACAGATATTGAGAGGAGAGCATTCATGCCCAAGCCTCGCGGTGGCGAGTTTCTGCTCTCTACATTCTGATATGCATTTAGCCGAAGTTAGCTGATTCTGGAAAATAGCCCTATGCCACAGTACTCAGATAGCAAAACTAACCTTGTACTTTGTATATTACCAGTCGCATTGCCCAGCTGTCGCCGGGCATGCTCCTTCTTATGTAAAGCCCGGCTACGCCGAATGAATCGTGCTCCCAGTCGGTTCAGTGAGTACTGCGTCTTCCCGGAAGAATCTCTCAGGGGTGTTCGAGAAAGCATGTTTAAAAAACAATCGTGCCGGAATTTTGGCTCAAATTCTGGTTAGATTTACCGATGCAGCCTCTTCAAAAAAGTTTTAATTCCGCCGAGAGCGTTAGCTCCTCACCTCACAACACCACATAGATTAGCGAGAGCCAGGGATGCCTTTAAGTCTGTAAGAATCTGATTTCCTCGTTCAATTTATGCGTTGGTAGTCGTTAGGGAAATTCACGTAAAGCATACCTCGTGGAAATTTCGGAACAACTGAAGACCTGATTATCTTTCAGCCACTCTACCCAAATGCTCTTTCTAGGAGCACCTTCAGTCAACGCAATCAGTTCTGTAAGAAACATTCTTTTCAATGGGCGTTTACCTAGGGGTGTTCCGAAAAACGGATGTCCGAAACACGTATGTTTGATATACACACGGTTCCAAAATTTTCGCTCGAACTCAACAGCCAGATTTACCGATGCAGATTTATTCATGATGATGATTCAGATGCAGATTAGACTCAGATGGTGATTTACCGACTTCCTATCTACACCTTTCCAAGAGGCCAAAGTTCAGCAATTGTTGGTCGGGGAGAAGATTAATCACTGATTGATTTCAGTAATATGTAAAGAAAACATGACTTGGTTCACTTCTTGTTAATAGATTACCACAAATAAACAGAAACGAAAATTCAGTGCGGGCACTCGGCTCTTACAGTAACCCCCTGACTTACCCACCACACACCGCCGTGTCCTTGCCCAAGGCCCCTTTTCAACGCGTTGTATTTGTTTGCTTATTAACATAGGTTGGATTACGTAAGAGCCGAGTGCCGTACTGAATTTTCGCTCCTGACCACAAATATACATGAATGTTTGTGACTCGTCAAGAAATCGCGCATTCTCTAGATTCAGATATCACTTTCAGCAGAACAAATCCGACCACCAAACTATGTAAATCGGCAGGATGGGTTATGGACTTTTGATAATGGCATTATCAACAGTCGAAAACAATAATGAACACTATTAAAAATTTTCGGTTGACTAAGTAGGGTTGGTCAGTCATAGATAGAGAAGCTAACAAAGAAAAGAGACTAATAGAACTTAGTATGCAGTGACGCCTATGCTTTGCACAGAAATTCAAAAAAAGTGGAGGAAAAGTCGCATCCGCTTCGCCATAGGAGAACAAAAAAATTCATTCGCATGTTCATAATAATTTAATAATTTTTTTAATAATTTAATAATAATTCATAATAATTCATAAGGAGAAGGAAGAAAGAATTCCAAGCTCTGTATAGGCAAACAAAGTACTATGGGAGTAACGGTCAATTTCACAGTCTCAAAGTATTCACTTCACTCAATGCTCACTATATTCGCAACACCCGCTCCACTCCATTGACCTACCCACCACCAAGTTACTGCTTTACAGATAAGAAGGAAATGTGAGAGATTTTCCATATCACTGCCTTTATCATAATCATAGTTTTGCGGACGGACAGACAGACACACCGACAAACACACAAACCGACAAACCGACACACCAAGTTACTGCTTCATAAATGAGAGAGATATTGACCAGATTGTGTTCATTTCCAGCATAATTCATTCGAGCAGCTTTGGATCAATTTTGTCAATGAGAAATTGCAACAGTTCTTCAACCACCATATGTTCGTTCTGGAACAGGAGGAGTATTCTCGTGAAGGAATCCAGTGGCAGTTCATCGATTTTGGTCTTGATCTACAAGCATGTATCGAACTAATCGAGAAGGTATACCACTCTTTAAAAGTCATTTATTTATCTGTTTATGGGATCAGCCCGACACGCCTTAACACACAAGCAGTACACATCAAAACTTAACAGAATATGCGAGTGGATGGATGATGTAAAATATTTTGAAATCCCTGGTGTGTTGAGTTTTATTATCAAATGAGTGACTTTCGAACGTGAAACGGCTAAAAGGAAAATGAAACAGTTCAGCCATGCTTGATGTCTGACCGTTATTGTCTATAGAGCTGGGAACGAGCGTCGAAGGAGTTCAGGCGCCTCGTGTGTTTTGAAAATGTTTTTCCATGGATTGATGAACATGTAACAAAATAGAACGAAAACATTGAGTCCTGGGGAGGAAAATTTATTCTGTACAGTTTAAGAAGAGCACGTTTGTCGCCGAAATGGAAGACGACTCTTGAGAATGTTCAATTAGCCGCCGGCGATTGACTATAGTTTGTACCAGTGCTAGTATTGAGGTCTGTAGATAGCCCTGTTCAGAACTTCAACAGGAACTCTTCAGAATGATCCCGGACATGACAATCACCAATCTGACGGTCATTGATTACGATTATTCCCTTTCATTTGCCTTCTATGATTCAAGCATTGAAACCTCTGTCTGTTTCCATAAATACTGGTTTTATAGATATTTTAATCGCTAGTACTCTTTTCAAAATAATTGCATATATGGCTCAATAATTTAATTTCATCATTATAAAACCTGGCCCAGGCCTGCGCCCTGGGCTAATTGGCGCGAATTCTAAAATTGGTTGGTTTCTGTACCGTAAATAAAACTGTGAAAAAGAAGAGTCCGGTGTGGCTAAGAGCCTTGAGCTTCTCCGTGAGTGGTGTGAATGGAGAAAGAAAAGTCAGGCTAGAACCCCAAATATTAATCGCTTCAGCCACTTGGAGTGATTTCTATGCTTGACGAGGAGTGTATCGTTCCAAAAGCCACCGACATGACATTAGCTTCAAAGCTCAATGACCAGCATCTTGGGAAGCATCCGAACTTCCAGAAGCCTCGTCCACCAAAAGGGAAACAGGTGCGTCTTTAGAAACTTCGTCCTAAACTTACTACTTACCATCTCAAAGAGACAGATTATTGTAGGCTGAGGCGCATTTGGCCATAGTTCACTATGCAGGTACAGTGAGATACAATGTGAAAGGATGGCTAGAGAAAAATAAGGTATGTATGGTAATGAACGGAAGTTTACCCTTTCCGTAATCTCGAACGTTTTCATTTGAGGACCCATTGAATGACACAGCCGTATCAGTACTGAAAGCCAATACGGGAAATCAGTTGATGTCTGAATTGTGGGCGGACTACAATACGCAAGAGGACATTGCGAGTCTTGGCAAAAAGGCTGCACCAGGCAAGAAGAAGGTACGTTGAAAAGCACAGCTGATCTAGTCGACAAATTGAATAGATTACAATGCATTGCACTGATTGTGAATCTTCTTTTATGTGGACTGTTTTGCTGAGTGCATAATTCCTTTCTCTGTATATGGAGAAAAGCTCTTCCAATAGGGCGTGTGAAGAAATAGTCTGTAAAGCAAGCACTCGCTCGAAAAGATGTGGCAAAAGCTGTGAAATACGAGCACAGAAGGAATTTCTAGCTTTATTGTGATGAAGAAGCTCTTTCGCTCACTTTCCTCAGAGGCACTTTTCCTATGCCATGTCTTGTAGCATATAAAACCGTTTAGTCTAACGTGAAAATAAACTCGAGCTTCTCGTAAAGATACGAATGGGATTCGGAATTAGTTCCTACGCCAGGATGTATCCTTCGAACCGTTTGACCTTGAGAGAGGGAACGGGAGTGCATTCTGAGATTCTTGCGACTTGTCAAGCCTTTTCCCACAGGGAGATATGTATTTGATGGGATTTACCCAAAAGTCCCAGAACTCGGTGATCACCATAACAAAAACAACAACTGAAAGTGAAGATCATTTCTGAGATCTAAGAATAAAAGTAGGAGACATTTTATGTGAATACACTGAGACAGGAATTCTTTTTTTTCTGTTTGCAGTTGACAGTTTTCAGGGCAAATCATCGTCGTTTATGACGGTATCCATGATGTATCGCGAATCCCTGAATAAGTTAATGCACATGCTCCATCAGACTCATCCACATTTCATCAGATGTATCATCCCGAACGAGCAGAAGAAAAGTGGTACGTGGCATTACACTACTGAGAGCTCCGGAAACAGGAAATTTTTGGTTGAATGGAATGTGACGTTAGGTTTGAAGGGATATCCTGCAATCATTTTACGAGTAAGAAAACGCTATAATGCCACATCCGGAGGAACTGGACATTAAAAGAAGTGTTTCACAATGCTTCCCCTGCCACCTTGTCTATGGTGAAATCGCTCTATTTGGTCTTCGACATTCGAAAAAATCGCCATCGACAAGGACCGAAATGCAGTTCTGAGCTTCTGATCTGTGGCTTACTCCGCCAAATGAACAAATACACTAAGCCAGTCGCAGGCAGCATCTCTCCGATACTTAAGCATAGAGAATTACCAATCTTCTGTGGTCTCATTGTCACTCCAATCAGTGAACGGCAAGAGACAAATAAGGCATCATGGGCAGTCGTAGTCTGCTCGTTGCATCTCAAAGGCCCAGCTTGCACAGGAGAAAATCACTCCTGCATTCCGAATGCTGTGCGATATCCGCTGCCAACGTGCTTACTTTCGAGGTTTTCGGCTGTTTCTTTCCGTTCCTAATCGCTGCCTACCAATGAGCCCTATATACTACTTTTTGCCCTACAACTCGCATCTTGATGAGATATAATGTGCTTCAAAGTCGTTTATGTGACCCAGTGACCAAGTCGTGCTCGGATGGAATAAAACTTATCAACACCCCATTTGATCACGTGTGTTGCGTAGGCGAATAGGCTTGAAGTTTGGTGTGGTAATTTGTGACTTTAATTATGAAAACTCTCCTTCCAGAATAATCAAATTTCTTACTCGTTATGTATAGCCCCCATCGCAAATATGAGCATGACTTGGCGGAGCTGATCGTTGATCGTCGTTGACAACTATATCATCACATAATTTTCTTGAAAACAACAAAAGTCTTCGACGTAATCTGTTCCGCCTTCGACTCTCATTCAGAATGGTAGTGGCGTTTCAAATGCACATGTGGCCTATATAATGATTTGTGATGGCCAGCCGATGTAAATGTAAGTCAGTGCTTTTACCCTCCCAGACGTCTGGTGCGAATTAATTGACCCAGAGGGAAGTAAGACTTGGTTGGCATGGGTTGAAATCGACCCAGGATTCGATCCCCTGGCATTGCGCGTGTAATAGTGCGCCACTTGTCACCATGCCATCTCTGCTCATATATGTATAAATATACATTCAGTGCGTCTCCAAATGATACGGCCACCTCTGACTTCCCCAAAAACTCAGTGTATACGATGTTTCTGAAAAAGCGCCAAAGTAAAAATGTGTCAAATCTGAATTGCAATTTGCATTTTATCACCTAATTCCACCTCGAAAACACAAACATTTTTTTGTCAATCTCTCAGTAAAGGGTGCTTCTTCAACGTCTCCAAATGATACATCCACTAACAAAATTAATTTATTCAACAGCAAACATACGACAAGGAGAAAAAGTTGCAAAGTCGCTGATCAGCTGACCCACCATTCTTTCGTATTACTTTGAAAATACGGTGGTCTAGGCTCAAATAAAAACTATCAACCAGCTCCTAGTCAACTTGGAACCGTGATTTGATGATCGCTTTTTTCAACTCCTTGAGCCTCGGAATTCTTGTTTTGGGCGTAAATCTTTCGCATCATTCGCAGAAGCCCCACACATTTTCCGTCGAATTCAAATCGGCGCTGTTCGCCGATCAGGGCAGAACTGCCGAGAGAACCAAGCTTGGGTGCTCCTGCTGAAGTGAATTGGAGTATTATTCTGCATAAAACAAGGTTTGGGTGCCCATTCTGACGACAGAAAGGGAGAAGTGCATGGCGCATAACAATTCAATAAAAGGACGTCATCATCGTCATTCATCTTTTTTGGTACAAAACATAGAAGGATACGGCTATTCGATGAATCGCGGCCCAAATCATGACTCCTCCTCCTTGAATTTCTGTCTAGGAAACTGAAGTTTTTCCTTCCTCAGGTCGTGCCACTAAAATCGGTTCCTGTCTGGACACTAAAGGTTCCGACGTCCTCTTAGCGTCGAACCCTTATTACCGTTAGATGGCCCCAGGTCGACCCAAATACTTGCAACAATACGAGACAATTAAAT